TGTTTCTTGATATCGCCATAACCTCTGTGCAGTGAAAGGCAGGGTAGATGTAGTTAATTCGTGTTGAAGCAGGTTTTGTGAGTCACATCTACATTCTTAAGGCGTGGAAACCGATCCGACGAGTCCTTTTCCATTTTTAACGCAACCAACATTCCACTCCCTGTTCATTGTGCTTGTGCTTCCTCTCTGTCTCTTTTCATCATCGTTAACGTCAATTTAATCCATAAATATCAACATCTACAATTGCTAACCACATGTACTGTATATGCACTTAGCAAACCTGGTGCATGTTTAACTAATTTTTTGTTGTTAGAAATCTATCACAAAAGTTAAAATTCAGTATGCAAATCCAATTGAAGTTAACCATTCCCCCACATAAACCAGTGTAAACCAGTTAAAAAAAACTTTACAACAGACCTGCCCGATCTGGTTCAGAGTTTCTCATACGTTTCATAATGTTTCCTCTTGCTGAACAAACAAGTTCAGACAGAACACATGGCCTGAATAACTCAAAGCAGGCATGAGTTCCTGTAAGACTTTAAAAACACTGAGGGTAAGACTGGCGATCCTCATGACAAAATTATAGAGCAAATTATAAAACTACAGCTCTTTTAATACCTGATTCAGAGAATGAATCATCATCCTGCAGAGGTTTTAGCAGTGAGTCAGAGGGCTTCACATGTGTGACCGACAAGAATTTCTCAAGCTTTGATGAAAAAGAACCACAGAGACTTTTCCTGTGGAAAACTCCACTTCTGGTTTACTTGGTTTAAAAGTATAGCCTAAGGTAGCAATTAAACTTGCGTGTAAGATTGTTGTCGGTTGATCTTTTTTTTTTTTTTAATGTGAAATCTATATTTAGTGGCGATTTTATGCGCTGTTTAATATGGTACATTATTACAAATATGCCTGCGTTTACAAAAGAAGAAAAGCATTGAAATATTTGATCATTACAGTGCTGGAGAACAACTTAACTGCCATTGACAATTAAAAACGACAACCGCTGATATACAAAGAAATTGAAGACACAAAGTAGCGAGAAAGAGATCGGCACTGGTTTGACTTTTTTGATTACAGTTGACATAAAACAGCAGGACTCAGCCGTAGATTCAACACATACTTAAAATATCATCAAATGTTAGAACTGATGGCACATCCATTCGTTTGAGTAAAACATTATATGGAGGATGTGTATTAAAGGCAAAGCACTAAAACTGATATAAAAAATATAGAGCAATGATTTTGTTTGCCTTTTCTGATGATGATGATGATGATGAAGATGATGAATGGCGTGATGGCCTATCTTGCAAGAAGCATTTTATGATTTGAGCATACACCATTCTAAAGCATTTAAAGGGATAGTTCACACACAACTAACTAAATAAAATTGTCATCATTTACACACCTTCATGTCCATTTAAACCTGTTTGATTTGTTATGTGTATCAAGCTCCAAAATAGAATAAAAGAAACCATGAATGTATCATAAAAGTGATCCATACGACTTGTGCACTAGATATTTCAAGTCTTCTGAAGTCATACAATAGCATTCTGTGACTAACAGACTGAAAATTAAGTAATTATTTGCTTTAATCCTCACCTCAAGTGATCTACTAATTGCTGTGATCAGATCACTGAGTCAGATTCAGGAAGAATCAAATCAGTTCAATTAATGAAAAAATCATTCAGGGCCTAAAATCCCCCAATTCCCAAAATCATCATAATCCATTCCTATGGATGAGAGTGGCCTTTTTAAAAAATCACCTTTTCAGTATATTGGAATAACATAAGGGTGAGAAACCTATCCCACCATGTTGCTTTTAAATACAAGAAGTTGTTTTGAATGAGTTCACTCATTTTTTTTCTTCTTTAGTTTTTTTCATTTTCAGGTTGCTGTATTCTTCATCAGAGATATTCAGTGTTAAAGAGGATCAGAGGACACCAAGTGTGACTTGGCATTGCTCTGAGCCATGGACTGGAAGACTTTTCAAGCCCTGCTCAGTGGGGTGAATAAATACTCCACTGCATTTGGCCGGATCTGGCTCTCAGTGGTTTTTGTGTTCAGGGTGATGGTTTACGTTGTAGCGGCTGAGAGAGTTTGGGGCGATGAGCAGAAAGACTTTGACTGCAACACCAAGCAGCCGGGCTGCGCAAACGTCTGCTATGACCACTTCTTCCCCATTTCCCACATCCGACTGTGGGCCCTGCAGCTCATCTTCGTCACCTGTCCATCGCTGATGGTGGTAATGCACGTGAAGTACCGTGACGAGCGCGAACGCAAGTACCATGAGAAGCACGGTGAAAAAAAAAAGCTCTACGACAACACGGGGAAGAAACACGGTGGACTGTGGTGGACGTACCTGATCAGCCTTTTTGTCAAGACTGGCATCGAGATCACCTTCCTGTACATCCTCCATCACATTTATGACAGTTTCTACCTGCCACGGCTGGTGAAGTGTGAGGTCCAGCCATGTCCCAACGTTGTGGACTGTTACATTGGACGACCCACAGAGAAAAGAGTCTTCACCTACTTCATGGTTGGCGCTTCAGCTCTTTGCATAGTGCTCAGTGTCTGTGAGATCATCTACCTGATCTCCAAACGCGTCATTCGATGTGCCAACAAGTGTAAGAGGCACCAAAGAAGCAGCACACCGCTTAATGGACGATACCGAGACGAGGACAGCAACTGCACCATTCCTATGCATGAATTGGACAGCAAACCCGAGTTTAAATCGGAGTCTAAACCAGACTTTAAGCCTGAGTATAAACCTGGGTCTAAACCACAGTTTAAATCTGAAATCAAGCCAACATTTAAGCCAGCCTACAGATCGAGTGTAGACATGAGAGCTTCTGCTCCAAACCTCTCAGTACCCATGTACAAGATACAGTCTGATATACTCTGAAGAATGTTTCCATGTTTCCTTCTCCATCAAGTATTCACAGAGTGATCTGGGGGCATAAAACAAGCTTTGAATATCTGGACAGTCTCAAAATCTTTCATCGTCCATCAAGACCTATAAAACTGCCAGTCTTCTTGGGTGTTTGTTATTTGGCAGATGGTTCGTGAAATTCTATATGCCAGATTTCAGAAACTTTTGCCTTGGAAACAGCAGGGATTAAGTGTCTTGCTTAGTGGAGCAGTGGAGATCAACCAGGATTGTGATAACACTGGTACCTGGGTTCAGACCTGGAGTCGTTTGATTAAGAGCCTAGTTCCTTCAGGCTTCAACTTCAGCTCAAAGTACTGCATAACTGCTATGATCCTAAGAATTAATGAATGCATTGCTCTCTGATTCATTCCTCTCATTCATTTCTTAAAAAGAGCAAAGGTGAAAACCCATGAAAAAGCTCAAGAGTTATCAAGTAACCAGGAAGGCATTCATGGAGAACACACCTTGCATACAAAACCCACTTCCACCTTCACACACACACTAAAAGATAGGAGGAAGAGTGGAGTTCATTGTATGTTAGAAGACGTAATGAAAATGCCTCATGGGTGTCATTGTTTACGTTGTCTCATTTCTCAATGTCCTGGTATTTGTTACAAAGATCAGAACAAAGTTTAAAAGTTGAAGCTGTTCCAACTTTGAGTTTCATAGAGATCATAGTGGATGTCTATATGCAAACACACCTGAACTCTATCTGAACTTAAATTCTTATGCTGGAAAAATGAGAGGTATATAAAATATAACGGTGTCCACAGGATGGGAAATCAGGGAAAGTTTTTCTTCCATTATTTGTTGTAACTTTACTGTAGACTGTGGACTAACCTCATCTGATCTACACTTGGCAAGCATTTGCAAGAGTTTGACTTTGCTCAGACTTGCTGTTAAGATTGTGTTACATATTTAACTGAGATTTTTCATTATGCTGCACACCCTGCCTTTGTATCAAAAATGAATCAACGCACTGACAAATTACCTTATGAATTTCTTTCATGTTTTTTGTAAAATTGCCAAAATGGAGTTCTTCTTTTGTATGACATATACTATTTGACGATATTGTAAATGAGAAAGCTTTTAAAGTTTATTCATTTTGATACTGTATAAATAAAGTACAAAATTAGCCATTTTGTCACATTTTAAAGATTATTTTGATGTGAAAAAGCAATAGCTTAAATCATGAACAGATTTAAATCAAAGAGGAAACAGATTTAAGGAAGTGGATAAACAACTTCAATTAACTTTGAGAACATGGAACATGAAAATCATTATTCACTATCCTTTGTCAGAACTTATGTAATACTGATTAATTTACACTGATCTATTTAAAATCTTTGCAAAACCATTCAAATGTTTGGGCCCACTGAGATTCTTAATACTTTTATTCAACAAGGATGCATTAAATTGATCAAAAGTGACAGTAAATACTTTTATATTGATACAAATATATTTCAAATAGATGCTTTTTGAGCTTTCTATTTATCAAAACACTGTGAGAAAAATGTAACATGGTTTGCAACAACACTGAACTGTTGAATCATTGTCAACTGTGACAAGAAATGTTTATTGAGCACCAAATCAGCATATCAGAATGATTTCGGAAGGATCATGTGACTGATGGCCTTGGTGAGCATAAGAGATGTCTTTCACAAACATAAAACAATCTTACTTACCCCAAACTTTTGAATGACAGTGGGATTCTTTGTCCATGCTTTGACTGATTTAAAACAGTTTACCTGCTATTACAGTTAGCATCTGAATGGATCAAAATCTCTGGAATGTATCACAATGCCTACTCAGTACAGCTACATAAAAGTTTGGACATATAAACTTTATTTTTTTTATTCATAAAAAGTTATTAATATATTGAGAACTACTTTTTTATAAAATACTACTAAATACTACTTTTTTTCTAAGTAATCAAATATATACATGCACAGCCTTGCATTAACAGGACGTCACTTCCTGATCAATGTACAAAAATTATTACTCACTTCTGAATAACTCTTTTTTTTGTCTTAGTCATGCATAAATTTGTAAAATATGTTTTTGAGGGTGGTTGTATGATGTCAAACAAAATGCGTAAATGTGCAGACTCGTTGATCCAGTTAATCAGCCTTCAACCGATAACAGAAGTACTTTATGCAACTAAAATGGTTTCTTTCCTTTTGGCAAGAAGGATACAGTTTTATGTTTGTTACTATTATGAAAAATTCAGTTGTCAGGCTAATCTGTAAAAGTATATCTGAAAGAGAAGTTTGGCACATTGCATAAGGATGCATAAATTCACATTTCTCCTTATCTTGTCTTTAATCATTAAAATTAATAATCCTCTATTAAACATCATACACACTAAAGATAAAGTGTGAAGCAAAAAAAAAAATCATACAATAATGTCAGTTAACAATACAAATAGAAACGATAAGTTGTTGCACACACAAGACATGTCTCTACAATACATTAAAGGAAATTCACAGGCATCAACAAACCTGCAGAGTAAAGGGATTTTCCTTAGCATGGAAAAAGCATAAATTATTCATGTTTTTTCCTGGAGAGTAACAAAATTAATCAGTAATCATAATGGTGCATTATTATCTGATGTATCTGAAGTTCCGTGAGTCTTTTCATTATAATGGGTTTGTTATGATTACCAGCATAATAATGCTTTTGTCTGGTAATGACAGATATTTCCGTCTTCAAAATGAGTCAAAAAACATACACGGACACAAGTATGAGGATGTCATATTTAAAACCATTTGTGACATCTCATTCTGAGACAATGATAACAATGCTAATCAAGATTAGTAATGTGATGCAGTCTAACCAGCAAAACATCTTCATCTAGATTCATAATATTCTGCAAAGTCAAATAACGTCCCCTTCTGGCATTTATTGCCTTTAGGCATCAAACGATCTTGCTTCAGCACTATGTAAAATATTTAATTAATTTATTAGAAATATACATATACAAAGATTGCCTTTCATCAGAAATCAAGGCACAAGAGAACAGTTTGGGTCTGTGGTTGTGAATATTGGTTGATATGAGCTCACAAGCACCCTTTTCACCACTAGACATTCACAGTAGAGAATGGATGCGCTGATCCCCAATGTCCAGCTCCACTGTGCTTAGAAATACTTATTTGAAAAATTTTATAAATGAAGAGATTTCACTGCGTACTAAGGGGTAATGTAGTGTGAGCTCCAAAAGAGTAATGTCATCATACCAGAGACTATAATCTCCATAAAGAGAAAGAGGACTTCAGAGCTTGCAGGAGGCCTGAGCTACTTTTGAATTTGTCCTTCTGTTGAGTGAATGACAGATGTATGAGCCAGCGTCCAACAGTTTGGGCAGGTCCACTCCCTGAAACAAAGAAACTACAGCTTAAATGTGTGGTATAACTGTTTTTTTATTTTATTATTATTATTTATTTTTTTTTTTTTACATTATTTAGTTTTATACCCAGAGGCCCAGTAGTATTTGTGACATTTTTATTTTCTTAAAGTATAATGTAATTATTATTTTATGACCACTTTCCATTCATTCTCTGACCCCACATGTTTCTTGTGACACTGAAGACTGGAGTAATGGCTGCTGAAAATTCAGCTTTGGCATCACAGAAATTACATTTTCTAATTTATTAAAATAGAAAACAGTTATTTTATATTGTAATATTTCATAATATTACTATTACTACATAATATTACTACCAGTCTTGGGTAGATTCAGAAACTTCTGCCTTGAAAACAGCAGGGATTAAGTGTCTTGCTTAGTGGAGCAGAATTGTTATTCAGATTAATGCAGCCTTAGTGAGCAAGAGAGACTTCTTTTAAAAACATTATTTTTTTTTTTTAACTCTTACCAATCCCAAAATTTGAATAGTAGCATACTTTATAGAAAGCCTGTGAATTTATGAGAAGTTAAACCATAATCCAGCAAAATCAGTCATGATTTATGTGTGACGTTCCCTATTAAAGGAAGTTGTTTTAGGTCGGGCATTTACAGATTTTCTTAAAGAATCCAGACTGCTGATAGATTTGACTGTGAGATTAAGATTTAGATGTGACACAGACACATTCCTGTACTTACAGTATGGATTCCCAGTCCGTGCAGCATATAGACCACATCTTCAGTTGCAACATTCCCAGAAGCCCCTTGGGCATAAGGGCAGCCGCCCAGCCCTGCAACGGATGAATCCACGACACTTACCCCATTCTAGAAAAGAACACATGAAACAAAGGTGTAGGGCTGTGCAATTAATCGCATGCGATTGTCAAGCGCATCTCGTCAGTAAAGCCGGTTCCATGATTGGTAGTAAATCGCCATCACCTGCTTTCAGATGGAGCGGCATTTAATACACAGAGCCGTAGTTCACTGACAATTAGGCAATATCACGTTCATAATCGCAGATGAATCGCATTCGATTATGAACACGATATTGCCTAACTCTTCAGTGAACTACGGCTCTGTGTATTAAATGCCGCTCCATCTGAAAGCAGGTGATGGCGATTTACTACCAATCACGGAACCGGCTTTACTGACGAGATGCGCATGACAATCGCATGCGATTAATTGCACAGCCCTACAAAGGTGTGTTGTATTTAAAAAGAGTTGCTCATTTTAAGAATGTGAAAAATGAAAAGGTGAGAACGGATAGTATGCACGCAAGGCATTTGTGTCACTAAAGATTCAGTATAAGAGCGGGCCTTGAAAGACAGTAAACCACTATGAATATGGTAAAAATATAAATCAAGACAGGCAGGCAGAGTATTCCACACACTTCCATACCTGTAATGCTACAAGTATGTTAGCGAGTGCTTGTCCATAAGTGTCATGACAGTGAACTGCTAAAGCCTCCACAGGAACCTCTTTCTTCACGGCATTCAACATCTCCGTCATGCCACCCGGAGTGCCCACTCCGATAGTATCGCCAAGTGAAATCTCATAGCAGCCCATGGAATACAGTCGCTTAGCCACCTCTGCCACTTTGTTCGGCGATACCTTCCCTTCATATGGACAACCCAGCACACATGACACATAGCTGGGAATAACAGAGAAAGAGAAATTTTTCTGAAATAAGAGCACTGGATTATGGAAAAATTACTGAGACACTGAAATGTGCAATCGGCAGGTGTCTTACCCTCTCACAGGAACCCCCTCTTGATTGGCTGCTCTCATCACCTCCTCAAAGCGCACAAGACTCTCATCCACTGAACAGTTTATGTTCTTCTTACTGAAGAGCTCTGATGCAGCACCAAATATTGCCACCTCTTTTGCACCAGCCTTCATCTGAGATTATAAATATATTTCTTACTAACTCCAAACTTTTGAATGGTAGTATATAAATAAACATTTAATATAGCACTAGCACATAACAGTCTGTGCTGTACTTCACTCACAGCAGCCTGGAATCCCTTCAGATTAGGGGTCAGAACAGGGTAGTTCACGCCAGGTTTCTTGTGGAGGCCACGCATCACTTCCTCTTGATCGGCCATCTGCCAATCAAATGCAGCCAATCTCTCATCATTCTCTCTCTTTATAGTGTTTTATTTCATGTTGTGAGAGTTTGTTTATTAAATGTTTGCAGGCTTTGATGGCGTATGCTGCATCTCACCTGAGGGACCCATTTAGGTGAAACAAAACTTGTGGCCTCAATGACAGGAAGTCCTGCCTCTGAGAGCATATCAATCAGACAGATCTTCACCTCTGTTGGAACGACAGTCTGATGGATGCAGAGTTTGATTAACAGAAATGATACAGCTCTTGTATTTCACTTTACATAGTTTCCAGAACTTTTCCATCATCATATGTGACACATTTCAATGACTTTTACTATTTTACTCATTTCCATTATCCAGACCTGGAAATCACACCTTTGAAATTCCATGATACTTCCAGGACAAACCTTCTGAAATAACTATTCACTATGTGTCAACAGGGTTTGACAGTTGGCAAACATAAAACAGAAGTGTTTAATCACACAGCACAGAGCTGTCATGCTGGGTGTTGATGCAGGTTAATTCAGAATCACAGAAAACGCTTGACCTTCTCATTCTGAAGTCCATCTCGGGGTCCAACCTCTACAATCTTAACCATCTCTGGTAATGAGATTGACTGTGTGGCAGACACATTGACCTGTCAGATCACACACACACACAGAGAGAGAGAGAGAGACAGGAGTAACGTTAGACAAATATACACATGCACGCAAAATAGTATAAACATGAAGGCTATGTCATTCGTAATTTAATTAATTTAGGTAAACACAAACCACGTAACATCGTCACATTCAGAAAAGCACGCGCGTGAACTTACGGATCTCAGTATTGCGGCAGCAGCGGAGAACAGAGCAGGTCTGTGAACCCGAGCAGAACCGAAAGAACCTGAACCAACTCTCATCATGAGCGCCGCCATCTTCACACGCCCCCATTCGCCCTGACGTCATTAGCTCATATATGGATTTAGATCTCGCGATAACACGGGATCAGATTTCTAGAGGCTCGGCACCAATCTGTCATCGTGGCTCTAAGAGCTGAATGTTTTTCTTGTTTGTCCAAAAAGTGAAAAAAATCCAAGAGGTTGTTAAATGTCGGTATAAAGGTAGAATAAGGTCATGTATTACCCTTTTCAAAATTCTGGTTAAATGCCAATGATATAAACTGTATGTGTATAAAATATATTTCCTTTAGACAAAATAATCAAAACACAAATAATGTTCTATCAAAATAAGACAAATGGCAAAGATGATATATCGAGAGTGAAACAGAAACACATATATTCATACATACAATATTTTATTTAGACAATGTTTATGTTGAGCCTGTGACTGGTAACAAATATAACTCGTTTTGTTTTAAATAAATAAATGAGTCTGTTACACATCACACAAAGTAGGTCACGTGGACTCCATGCAGCATAGTTTATTAAATAACATATGTAAACCTTGGCATTAACTAAAGTTGTAGTAAATGTATATAGTTAATATAGTAAATGTAAAAACATAAAACTGCTGTGAAAAATGAAAGTCAACACTAGGATATTGCAGATTTTTTGTATCAGCCCTGTAGCCTATCTAAATTAAATTTCCGCATTGTCATTCTGCCAATAAATGCCTTTTTGAATTAAACTAAATATACTTTAAATTACAGAAATATACTTGTACTTTTATAAAAGCAGTTATATTTTAATACTTTAGATTTTCAATGAGAAAGTGTTTTTATTTGTACAAAAACGCACAATCATTTCCCTTAACAGACCATAAACTGCCAGGAAGACAGCTCTAGCCCATTCCCCCTTTCATACACAACCACAAGCGTATCATCACTTTCCACTGGCTTCCTCGTCGCTGTCCTCCACTTCCTGGATTATGAGATCTGCTCCGGAATCTTCTGCGAGGTCATCATCATCCATGACCCATGTGATTTGCCTGTTCTCACTCATGTCCTCTTCCACACCCAACAACAGGCCTTCCTTGTCCTCATTTCCATCAGTCCCATCAGTGATCAACTCACTGTAGCCGCTCTCTTGAATGCAAACATCACACAGCCTGTATTTTCGGGTTCCCTCGCTTACCACTCGCCCAGTGACTTCAGTTACATGCCGTTTGCACTTCCTGCACACCAGCTTACGGGCCTGATGGATCTGTGGAACACAAGTGATAACACAGGGGATGTTTAAGATACCACATTAATGATTTTTTTTGACAGCCTGAAAAAATAGGTAATTATGTTAAATTACATCCATTACACTTGACTTAATTCAGCCATGACTTAATGTGATCATCACACACAGTACAAGATATGAATTAATGACCAACAGTAGCATGTGGATGTACAGCCTGTGGAGGTGTTAATGGACCAGACATGTGTGAAGCTGAGTATGTTTCTCACCGTCTCAAAATGGCTGCGCAGGTGTTCCAGGCGAGTGAAACGTTTGCTGCAGGCCTGACAGGGATAAGGACGCTCACCTGTGTGACAGCGGAGGTGACGCTTCAAGTCGGCCTTTCTCTTTACTGTGTGCGTGCAGAATGGACATTTGTAACGCATAGAGGGAGTGGAATCTGAGACAGAGAGAGGCAGACATTGACTGTTAGATCCCTTTCATGCATCACCACATCAAATGACTATTTGAAAGCCTATTTAAAATCAAAACATCTCTTGTTTTGGAAGAAAAAGGCCTAAAGGAGAAATGTTTCACATTATTAACTTCTGTCCAAGTTTTGACTGTTGTTGAAGACCTTGAACGGCTCTTAATTGCAAAACGGCATTTGGATTTGTGCAATATGAACATAGAAAATTTACACTTGACTTAATTCAGCCATGACTTAATGTGATCATCACACACAGTACAAGATATGAATTAATGACCAACAGTAGCATGTGGATGTACAGCCTGTGGAGGTGTTAATGGACCAGACATGTGTGAAGCTGAGTGTGTTTCTCACCGTCTCAAAATGGCTGCGCAGGTGTTCCAGGCGAGTGAAACGTTTGCTGCAGGCCTGACAGGGATAAGGACGCTCACCTGTGTGACAGCGGAGATGACGCTTCAAATCGGCCTTTCTCTTTACTGTGTGCGTGCAGAATGGACATTTGTAACGCATAGAGGGAGTGGAATCTGAGACAGAGAGAGGCAGACATTGACTGTTAGATCCCTTTCATGCATCACCACATCAAATGACTATTTGAAAGCCTATTTAAAATCAAAACATCTCTTGTTTTGGAAGAAAAAGGCCTAAAGGAGAAATGTTTCACATTATTAACTTCTGTCCAAGTTTTGACTGTTGTTTAAGACCTTGAACGGCTCTTAATTGCAAAATGGCATTTGGATTTGTGCAATATGAACATAGAAAATGTTTTATTGTGGAGGCAGAGAAATTCTTGCTGGAGGACAAAATAAAAATTTGTATAAATGTTTTTCTCCATCCTCATGCACAAATGTATGAATAGATTTTATATGATTATATATATATATATATATGTATGTGAAGGCTGAATTTATTTGATCAAAAATGCAAGGAAACAGTATTACTGTACAATATTATTATAGTAAGAAAAAAATAATTTATTCCTGTGATTGCAACGCTGTAAAAGTGACATTTTCAACATCATTACTCCAGTGTCACAAAATTCTTCATAAATAATTCTAATGCTGATTAGGTCTGGAAATCTGAAAAGATTTGTGCTGCTTAACATTTTTGTGGAAACTTTGATACCTTTTTTCATGATGTATTAATGAATGTAAAGTTTAAAAGCAGCATTTATTTGAAGTTGATTTTTTGTAACAATTAAAAGGTTTTTACTGTCACTATTGATCATTTTAATGCATCCTTGCTAAATAGAAGTATTCATTAAAAAAAAAAAAATTTACTGACCCCAAACTATATATGTACAATATCTGCAGTTTTGTGCTCACCTTTATTAAACACCCCAACTACCCCAACAATAGACGGAATAGACGGAAGGTTGGTGTACAGTTCGTCTGCTTTCTGAGAGCAGTGTGATACCACCCCCTGCAGGTCAATGAGAGAAGTGTCTTCTGTTACCAAGCGACTGGTGGCAGTTCTTTTCCTGCTTCCTCTTCTTCTGCGTTCAGGGAGCACAGAGCTGAACTGCTCCTCCTCCATTTGTGCCTCCAGACTGGACTGTGGAGGAGAGTTCTGCTGAAGCCCTGACGGCTGTGGGCTTGTTCCTCTGAAGTCCTCCTGCGTCTGATCCTCCTCTGGTTGATCCCAGAGTCTGGTCTGAGAGCTCATGCTTACGTCACACATGTTGGATGGCTCGATGACGTTCTCACGCCTGTCCTGAAGTGGACTGCTGTCCGACAGACACAGATACCGATTCTCATCGTCCTCTTTTGTGCTGATCTCAAGGAAAGATTTAATGAAGGCCTTGCAGTAGGAAATGACGTCATTCATCTGCAGGTAGCTGGCGGCTGACATCACTTCTATTACATTAGAGCTGTTGAGCTCCAGCTGACCAGAGTAAATGAAGTCCAGGATGATGGCAAAGATCTCAGGGCTGAAGACATCAAAAGAAGCACTTACAGACTCTAGAGTGTCTTTAGATCCTTGAGACAGCAACATCCTGAAATACCCACTGCTGCCGTACAAGACGTTACGGTGTGCATGGAAAATCTGACCCTCCACCAGCACGTTGCAGTCACAGAACAATTCCTGCTGTCGTTGCTGGTCCAGCTGCTTTAGCAAACAGCTATGGTGAATGGCTGACATATCTGCACTGGTCCATTTGTGAATAGGCCTGAAAAAAGAAGTGGGACAACTTGAAAAAAAAAATATATATTAAAGAATTAGTAATTAACTTCTATTTATTATCCAGTTTTACATTACTCCTAGCTTGTATGTGCAGTGTTGTGCTTTGTGTGATGTGATGGCAGCGATTTTATTTCACGAAGAGGCAGCTTAACTCCGCCCACTGTGCTCTGATTGGATGACACATCTGTCAATCATGTACATTCGCTGTGGAAGGGGCAACACCCGACTTTGCGCATCGGGTAACGAGGGAGAGAAGCGGGGAGAGAGAAAAAGAGAAATAAATACAGAAAGATGGAGGGAAGAAGAGAAACGCACGTTTAAAACATGAAAAATATTAGAATAAAGAAAAATAGGCGACGCTGTTGCAGTTAAAATATCATATCATTCGTTCCCCTTACAGCAAGCGCACACAAATACAAAAACTGGGTTACAGTGCCAGACATATATAAATAAATAAATAACCAACCCAATTAACATAAAGCCATAAATAACACAGAAATAGAGAAAATACTAGAAAAGCCAGTTATAAAATTAAAGTCACTGCGCCCTATATGTGCAAAAAACGCCCGCCGGAGAAAGTAATAGCCTACCTGAGATAACGCGCACACACGCCTGTGATTCACTAAAAGGACATTTAAACATTAACCAGGTATATAATTTCTTACATTACGAATAAAACCTGTCAGATAAGGGGAAAGAGGCGTTGGGGTGGTTTCTGACGGGAGCCCTGTCGTCCGCGGAGAGCCGCCCACGAACCGACCTCAGCTGGAAACGCTCCAGACTAGATTTTAAAATGCAAAACACCCGGCTTTGCAAGCACCTTCATCGCCTTTTCATATTTCGTATCACCTGAGCTCGGGCGACCCGCGGGTTGGCGCTGAGCCTCGCGCTGGTCCCCGTCGCCCACCCTCTTTACCCGGGCACCGTTTCCCCAGTCTCTTAAACATAATACTCACAGATGCCCCGCGTCACCCGCACTCCGGTACGGTCGACATGTCCCACTTTCACAAACCATCTCCATTTCTTAGCCTACTTTGGATGTATTTCTCCAGCTTTTGTTATCAGGGCGAACGGCTTTCACTTCCTGCTTTGCCCGAAAGACCGAAACCCGTTTGTGCTGGAAAAACGTTTTGCTGACGTGGGTGTCCGGTGCGCCCGGGACCG